GGGGCCCCTCTTAACTGTTAAAGTAGGCTTCTGTTGTCCTTTACTAGGTGAGAAGACTGTTACCAGATGAAAGGATTCAATCCAGCAAAAAATTAGCCTCACAAATAGGGTCTGAAACCAAACAATCTCCAAAAAGATTTAAATGTAGAATATAAAAATATTTCCATTTTTCAGATACTCTGTCTACATGAAATATATGTCTATATGAAATATAGCAAAAAGAAAATTCAAAAGCTTTATCATTCAAATGCTAAATGTGGGGTTGGATGTTGTAGCTCAGTGAGTAAGGTGCCTCTCTGGCATACACAAAGGCCTTGTTTCATACCTGGCATGAACCAGGCATAGAAGCACAGGCCTATAAGCACAGCACTTAGGAGACAGAGGCAAGAGAATCGAAAGTTCAGACCTGACCTGTCCTCCACTATATGTGTTTAAGGCCAGCCTGGGATACATGAGACCCTGTCTCAAAACTTGGGGGCACAGGTGAGGGGGTGGGGACAGGCTCTTGTTGCTATGCTCTTAGGATTCAACAAACTCCATCCATTCTTACACTAGGAAAGCCAACTCCCTGGGAGATGCTCTGTTCTCTGCTCCTGGGACAGCAGGAAGGATACCAGAAATGAAAAAGTGGACAACATCTCTCTCTGCCATCTGCTGGGCAGAATATAGGTCACTGAGATCAACTGGCATCTCTTCGCCTGCCCTCCTTTCGGTGGGGATGCTAAGGAGCTGAGGACATGGTCTCTACAGCAATATACATAAAAGACAGCGCACTCACTAAGTAACTTCAGAATTGACATCCCCACCTCAGCCTGCCCTAGCTGCTCTGCCAACCAGACTTACTCCAAGCTACAGACAGAAACCAACGACCACTGAAATGGTACCCATGCAATCCTTTGAGTTCCTAAAGAAAGGATGTTGTGAGTATTTAACTTAGATACTAACTGGGAAGCTTTCTTCCATTACCCAGTTAACACCAGAACAAGTGATAGCAATTCATAATCCTTATCCCAAGAGAGGAAAAAAAAAAAGAAAAAAAAAAAAAAAAAAAAAAAAAAAGCACTTTCCTATTGACTGAAGTGCCCTGCAGAGAAAACAAGTTTGGCAACCAAAATTGGCAAAGTTTTGTTGTGTTTTTTTTTTCTTAGACTATTAGAATATAGATCTAAGACTTGGAAACACGAGACTATTGAATGCTCGGGAAGACCCCCCCACCCCAGTGGGTCATTTTCTGAACCAAATACCTGACACTCAGTGATACCCAGCTTTGTGGGAAAGCTGTGTTCCCTCGGATGCTGTAACTTCCAAGTGTTTTCACAGAAGAACCTAAGAGTATCGAGCTAAAGCCGTACTCTAAATATTTACAAAATGAAACTGTTTCAGTCTTAACCGAGTTTTGTTTCTAAGCACCTATTTGTCCCAGGAACCATATTAGCAACATTAAAGGCTCTTTTTAAACAAAGTAGCTCAAATAAAACTATCCACAAGCACATTCTCAACATTCAGAACTATCCACCAAGGATAGATAGGCAGGATTCAAATTCCACTCAAGGATGTGACTGACCCACCACACTTCTCTGTCACCCTTCTCAAGATGGCTCACACTCCAGACCTACAAGATTTGACCACAGCATAACAACACCTTTATCAATCCCAGACAAACGTCCTCTCTTGGGGCTGGCCTGGAACAGACCCCTTTCTAGAACATCTCTGCCCCAGATGACAAGATTGCCAACTCCCAGCAACTCCTCCAGGAGCCACTGTGGACTGACAGAAGCTTCTAGCTATCTTTGCCTTCCTCTTTCTCCTCAGTTCCTGCCGTACACCTTCTGGGAAAACTATCTAGGCCAAGGAGAGTGCATCTAATAAAAGTATCTAGTTTAGTGTACTAAGAGATAATAACAAGAAAAACAACAGCCTATGGATTCCAAAAGTAATTATAAAGTAACAAAATGTATCATCTTTACACCCATGGAAAGAATTGTAGCAAGATGTGTGGACAAAAAAAGAACCAGGGACTATTACAACAAATTACATAACTATCAGGAGACAGAGCACAGGCCTTGGATTTCCAATCCTCCTTAATATCCATCTCACAAATGCTTATTAAAAGACCTGTTCCAAATTCCAGGAAGACCGGGAAGACAAAGAGCTGCCTGCAAAGAGCTTAGCACAGAAAAGCAAAGACAAATAAGCTAATAAATGAAGGACATTTTCTCCTTATGATAAATCCTAGGACAAAAATATACATACATACATATATACATAATAAATAAGAGTGATAACTTCTGCTATTGCTGCCCCACAGGGATGTAACCACCTACTTAAGACAAGATGATGAGTGTTAACCACTTGGCACAACAACCCAAGTATTAACCTGTACATGAATGCACTTGCATAGACACTCCTATGTACGTACACCACCCCCCATTTCTGAGAGATAACGCACTCAGAATAAAATGCAAGCAGACGATGAGAAACAAGCATCTTAGTATAACTTAACTGCCTTTTGTTCATTTAAGTTACAAATAACTACACTCATCAAGAATCTGCAAACCACAAAATCTAAACAACTAATTGTGCCTAAAACATAAAAGTCCAGATGCTCAAGATAATAGTAGTAACGAGTGTATCATAAATTTAAAAATAGTACTAATAACTTGTCCATTTTTTTAACAGTACCCCCAAGGATCTTGGTTTTGGGGTCGGCAACACAAACTGAATGCTACAATTGTCAGAGCTGGGTTTAAACCTTGTGTTATTTGGAGGAGGGGTCATTTTCAGGGTTGTAAGACTTTACACCTAGAATCAACAACGTTAGGAACTCTTTGAACTGGTCTGAGCACACTATCTATGGATGAGATGACAGGTGGCCCCAGAGGTAATGGGTTAGCCCATGGCAGGGTAGCACAGAGAGAGCGCCGGCACAGGCCCTAGGGTCCTAGTTTCAGCATCCAGAGCTTCACTTTTAAGGATCTTCTGCAGCTGGAGTTGAGATTTTATGAAGATTATTTTGACGACTACGCTCCCACACTTCAACTTCAGTTATTAATTGCTGTCATTTTTCAGGTAATGGCACCCCAGGGCTAATTGCTGACCAGGGAGCTGTGTAGGCCTGGGCAGGGTGACCTTGTTAAGAAAACTGCCTCCAACACTATTGACTATGATCATGGTGGAAAGATACAGTTCACTTGATGGAGGAAAGACATCTTCCAAATTTAGTTTGCCTCAGGACAAAAGCCCCAGACAATTGCTTTTGAGATGATGTATCGGCATGAGGGAAGGAAAGGGGTCCAAAAAACGGTGTCCAAGCTATGTAGGAGAATAGGGGGAGTCCCAGAGCTGCCAGAAGGGTGAGGAAGAGGGAGCAGCTGGGCCTAGGGCAAACATCTGACCACACCCCCCCGGCCACGCCCTCCCAGCTGCCCGCAGAGCCACAACGAATTGAAACAGCAGTGCGAGCTGTTAAGATTCCGAAGGCACAAGTCGCCATGGCAACCGGATTCGTCTTGGAGGCAAACTACGCTTCAATTCACTAGGTCCGGCTCAAATCTCAAGAAACTATCAATTCAATGAGGGCAAAGCGGTCACGGGCAGCATTTGCTGTGGATGATCTATGGAGGTTGATGGTGGGAGAGGGGAACTGGAGAGCAAAAATCTATTCCTGAGCACACTAGAACATTTTATGCGGATGGGGACAGAACACCCCCAAACCTTGGCAGTAAGCAACGTGCAAAAGACCTTGGAAGGATTTGATGAATATGTGAATAAACGAACGAATGAAGCTGACGGAAAAAAGAGGAGAGACAATCCAGAGGACTTTAGAGTTGTCGGGCCGGGCCTCTCCTGGGTCTCGTCTCCAGTCAGGAGACAAGCCAGTCACAAACAGCTGGTTTGGGGCACCAGTTGGATAAACCCGATTATCCAGCCCTCCTGCCCCCACAGCGAACCTGATTATCATTAGGTTACCCGCCACCCCATCACCCTCAGGGTTCTAGGGAGGGCGTTTAGCCCCCGCCCAGGTGCCCTTTGCAGGGCTCGATTCGGCAGAGTCAAGACTGAGATGCGCCCTCGGAAGCAGGGACGCGGGGAACCCGGGTCCGGTCCCCGGGAAGGCGCATCTCCCCCACGCCGCAGCCAGGCGCGCCGGCTCGCGGCCTCCGCAACGCCAGGTTTCCCTCTCCTCTCGGCACACAGTAAGCACGGACAGACACTGCCCGGATTGCAGTCACTCCCTCCGTTTTGAGGACGGCTGGACGTGAAGGTGCCAGGGACGGTGGGGGACTGGCGGCCACCGCGGTGCCCCGCGATCCTACCGAGCCAGCGGCCCAGGAGCGCCGCCCGCTGCCGCAGCTCCCGCAGCCCCCTGGCCCCGGGGAACCGCCGGCCGGGAAGCGAGCTCTACCCGGCCGGTTCCACTGCCACGGAGCGCTTAGGAAAGAAAGAAGGGAGGGACCCCATCCTCGGGGACGCCTTCCTCCAGGCTCGCCTCGCTCCGTGCCGCGCTGCAGCCATTTTCCAAAACCTTGTTTGGCAGCCCGTGGCAGTCTCGGTCCCGTTCCCACCCAGACTCAACCTGAAGGACGAGTTTAATATTTACCTACTGGCCCGGGAGCTCCGGGAAGCAGCGGGAGGGAGCGCCGCGAACAGCGCGAGGACCAGCACGCCCACCCCGGCGCCACGGTGCGGTGCCGCTAATGAATGAGTACGGCGGCCGAGCCGAAGCGTCCCCTCACCTGAGCAGCTGCTGCATGCTGAAAAGGCCGCTCTGCGCTCCCGGTACAATGGGATCCGGTTAAACAGTTCCCTTCACCGCCGTTCGTAGGTTACCAACTCGCAGGTGACATCACCCACGCCTCGTCTGATAGGATACAATGTGGCGTCCACTGCGCATGGACGCCCTGGCCGGGCCCTCAGGCTTCTGGGAGTTGTAGTCTTACTGCTCACTTACTCGCGGACAGAGGCGAAATTGCCTCTTCGTCCTCACCCGCAAGAACTACATTTCCCCGGGTACCTCTCTTCCCCTCGGTGCCCGCCCCTCCCCGCCCCTCCAGACCCGCCCCCTCCCCGCCCTCCAGTCGAGCCGTGCCGGTGGTGGTCGTTCGGAAGCCGAACAGCAAACAGCTTGGCCGAGAGGCAGGGCCATCCAGCGGCCGTGCCCTTTGACTTGACCTCTGTTCCTGCCAGCGAGCGGGTAGGCTGCGGGACCAAGGGGCGTCCTGAACTCGCGCACACCTACTGGGTTCTTCTGATCGTCTGGGCTCTCCTGCCCCCAGCTGGGAAGGGTCCATAAAAGCCTTTCTCTGCCTTCCCTACTCAAAGCCACTAATTCATAGGACTCCAGGGGTTCTGGTTTGGCATACCGAGCCGGTATTTCCCCCTGTCCCCAAGGATCAAACAACGCCCGCCGCGGAAAAAAAGGAATCCCCTTGCACCACACTCGGTTCAGTTTCACCTTTCTCCCCTCTTTCCTTCTCGCCCTTTTTAACCAAGACGGAGTAGCCAAGAAGAAAGCTGGGAAAAGCTTAGTCGGCTGACCCGAGAGGAAAACCGGTGACTGTCACGAATGAAAATGCAGTGTAATCGAAGACAGAGACAGTCACCACAACTCTGCGTCCGCGAGCCTGCTGCTGTGGAGATAATACTATCTATCGCACAGCCATGCTTTTGTTCGCCCCTGAAGGGGCTTCCCGCTCCGGTGGCTCTCAACTCCTCCGAAGACAGCATGCACGTCTAAAAGTTTTAGTTAATTATGCATTCATAAAATTTAAAATCTGCAACACTCCCTCGCTCCCCCACACGTTTCCTTTTAAAAAATAAAAAATTTTAAGAGCTTAAAGCAAACAGTGTCCTCCAAGGATTGCCCTGATCTTCAGACGCCTAAAATGTGTATTAAAAGGTAAGCAAAGAGGGTGTCATGGAATTCTGACCCTTCTGGCAGATTTTGGTTTTAATACATAAGGTTTTCTGTGTTGTTGTCTCATTCAATGAATACCAAACATGAAAAAGTATCAGGGGGAGCAAATCTCCAGGTGTCTTTTTACATGAAAAAAAAATTATTTATTCAACTTTCAGTGGTACTGCCGTGATCAGCTCACATGCCCACTTCCACCAGCAAAATTAAGATTTCGCTTCTCAGGAAATGAAGATTGACAATTAAGATTTCCAACAACTCTTCGCCTAATTGCTGATAGAATATCACCACTCATCTCCCCTTTTCATCTTGAAACACTGAGGTTCAAGTGAAATCTATTCTTGGAACTAGATGAGGATCTCAAAGAAGAGGGGAAGTATTGTTTTGTGAAAGAGGAGGTTTACTGCTGAATTCTCATTTTCTTTTGACAAACCTGTTCTGTACGGACCAGACCCATTTTCCTCCACGGAAGCAGGACAACTCGGTTGCTTTTCTGACCTACTCGGTCCATCTCAAATATTTTCTTAGACAAAACCCAGACAACACTAATGTTCTTTTGCCCATCCGACCAAGGGTACAAGCAGTGATGCTCTAGCTAATGGGTAGCCTTAATGTATTGCACAGTTCACTGTGGGGAAATATTCAGAAAGAAACCCGACCTGGCATGATGCTAAAGGCTCCCCCCATCTTATAACCGTGGAAAGCTTCTAGGTGGAAACATAAGCAGTGAGCTTGATATTTCCGGAGTCAATAAATTGAACTTGGAGCCTTGCTATCAGGCAAGGTTTATCCTTGTAGATGAAAGCATGCTGTTAAGGCACACTCAGAGAAATCATTTTCTAGAAAAAAAGAATCGCCTTTCAGCAAGCTCATTTGGTTCTGAGCACTAAGGAAAAGGAGTATAGGCCTTGCCCAAAGCAAAAGAATCCATTCTCTAGAACAGTATTACAGGGTGTGTCGTGTAGCATAGATGATCTCCAAATATAAAGGACAGTCTGCCCGATAGACAAGACAGGGAGTGTGGTGTGTGTGTGTGTGTGTGTGTGTGTGTGTGTGTGTGTGTGTGTGTGCTTTCTATCAATCAACTCTAAATATAGATAATAGAAGGCTTGGCGTTTGAAAATGGTTTTCTGGAAGTGGTGATGGATTTAAACTGATCCCGGCACACTGTTGCACTGGTAACCAAGGGAAACAAGATGTCTCTTTAGCATCAGAAATGCTGTCTGTAGACCTGAAATCAGCAGATAAATACTTCCATTATTCATAGTCTCACACACACACACACACACACACACACACACACACACACACACACTTTCATGTACTCATTGTATATGTCTGTATTTAATTCATTCTTTGAGATCAACCTCAGAAATCATGAAAAGCACTCATTCTTTCTAGCATAATTCATATTCCGAGGCAAAAAGGTTTCTTTACTTTCTCCGTATTATTTTTAAATAACTGATCCCCTCCTGGAATCATCTTACAAAAGACCCCACGTCACTCAACAATCATGAACTATTAATTAGGGACTCTTGGAGCCAATGAGAATAGACTCTCTCTATGGAGAGGTAGGAAACAAAGGTATCAGGGGGCATGTTGCTGATGTTTCAAAATAACAGCTCCTGCCTCTGGTTACAATGTTTTACTTCGGGGGAGGAAACAAGACACCAACTGAGAAAAAGGACCGTCTAGCGCCTCATGTGTGTTGTCGCATAACAGTGTGGTACTTCAGGAGGATTCATGCTGAGCCTGGCTTTGAGATTGGGCCATTTCACTGTTTTCAGCCCTGTGACTGTGCTTCTATGTGTTCCTTACTTTCTCTGTTTTCTTTCTCATAAAAGAGAATTAGTAAGACTACTTCATGCTTTTGCATATTAGATGAGGCACGTAGAAACACTTTTGGGGGGAGCAGAGTTGGGGTTGAATAAAGATGTTTTAAAATCCAGTTAGGCTTGAGGGTTAAGAGAAAGGCAGGCTCTCAGAAGACAGTAGGACACGCCTGAAAGCCCGGGCCTGGGCTTTGTAAAGAGCCGCAGAAAGTAAGGCTTTCTCAAATGTGAGTGCGGGATCTTTAATAGGGAGTTGCCCCAGGCTGTTAGTAGTTGCTTTCCACAAACTGATGATAAGAGCCTATTGCTGAAGACAACACTTACATATCTTGTTGAACACAGGGAAGTCAAGCTGGGGTCTAACGAGAGCCTTCACACCTACTGATTAATGTTCATAGTTCTGGAAGGTCCTCTGCATGCTACCTGAGGAAAACAGTAAGCACCAACGCAACTGCAAAAACCTCCGATCGACAATGATGAGCTGCCTGCAGGATATGCTAGTGCAATGGCGGTATAAACATTGTTAGAGTAACCAGCCACTGTCTGATTGGATTCAAGGCCCCCTCCGTGAGATGGAACCCATGCCTGACACCGCTCGGGTCATAGGTAGGCCATAGACCAAAGGAAACCCAAACTGTTATTCTGCTAAAGAAACATAGCAATCAGGGCTGGAGAGATGGCTCAGAGGTTAAGAGCACTGACTGCTCCTCCAAAGGTCCTGAGTTCAATTCCCAGCACCCACATGGTGGCTCACAGCCATCTGTAATGAGATCTGGTGCCCTCTTCTGGTGCGCAAGGTTACATGGAGGCAGAATGTTGTATACATAATAAATAAATAGCCGGGTGGTGGTGGCGCATGCCTTTAATCCCAACACTCGGGAGGCAGAGCCAGGCGGATCTCTGTGAGTTCAAGGCCAGCCTGGTCTACAGAGTGAGATCCAGGACAGGCACCAAAACTATATGGAGAATCCTTGTCTCAAAAAAAACCAAAAAAAAAATTAGCAAAATGTATAGTCCGGGAGGTACGGAGGTACGGAGCCGGGCACAACTCCAATCTCTGTGCCGGCAGCGGAAGGGGGAACTCGGGTCCAGCCACCGGTGGTCAGGCGCTGACAGAGCGGAGGCACATGAGACGCTGAAAAAGCAGAGTCCGGAGAAGACTCCTTCCTGCAGAGGAAGATGCCTAGTACCGACCTTCTAAAGTTGAAGGACTTTGAGCCTTACTTGGAGTTTTAATATAATAATAATAATAATAATAATAATAATAATAATAATAATAATAATAATAATAATAATAATAAATGAATGAGTAAAGCAATAAAGCAATAAAAATGACCCCAATGACATTCTATACCCAGTGTTTCACCCAGCCGTCATCAGAGAAGCTTCCTCCCACAGTTGATAGGAACTAATACTAAGGCCCACAACTGGACAATGCGCAGAGAATGAGAGACCTTGGAACACCCAGTCCTAAATGGGATCCTCTGGAAACCCCCTCCCGTCGGGGCTCAGGGAACTATGTGAAAGAGGAGGCAGGAAGATGGTAAGGGCCAGAAGGGATGGAAGGATGGCGGCCATGAAGGAAACAGTGTCTTCCAGACAAAAGAGGACTGAGGAACATAAGGACTCTCGGAGACTGTAGCAGCAGGGACAGGTCCTGCACGGGTCCAAACCCAGTCCGGTTCCAGGGCTGAGAGAGAGAAGTAGACATGAGCTTCCATCTCTGACCAGGAGACGCTCTCTAAATGACAACAACTTGCAAGGGGAAAATCGGTTTTCTTCAATAGTGTCTCACTGGGTACACAAACCACACTTGAGGGCACACCCTTGGCCCAGCAGTAGATAGCCAACGCAAAATGAACTCAATGGCTTTTTTGTAGACTTTTTATCTCATATTGCTTTGTTTGGGCATTTTTACCTTACCAGTCTTTGGCTTATATATTATGGTTTCCAATTTTGTGTTTTTATGGTTGTGTGTGTGTGTGTGTGTGTGCGTGCGTGCGCGAGTGCCTGTCTGCATGTATTTGTATTTCTCATGCTTTTTCTTTGTTATCTTTTGTTTGTTTTATTGGTTTTTTTCTTTGCCTGTTTGTTTCCTAAAAAGAGAATTCATGGAGTCGGAAGGGTAGGGAGGTGGGGAAGAGATGGGAGAAGATGAGGGAAGAGACACTGTGACCAGAACATATTGTATGAAATAAACTATTTTCTATAAAAAGAAGAGAGAGTTGCTGGGAAAACACTTCTGAAACTGAGAACCATAAAAACGTTAGTTCTTACAGTCATCTGCAATTTTCCATGCTGGACCTAATTTTAAAATAGTTAATAAAAACTCACGTAAGTCAATTCTTATTCATGACAACACATGATTAGGAATTGTGTTCTATGTACACCCTACCTTCCTCTAAGCCACAAGTAGGCAAAGGGAACTTGGGGAAAAAAGAGAGCGAAAATTCCAAAGTGGAATAGGACTTACTGTTCCTTGGCTCACTCATAGATAGGTAATTTCTTCTTCCACAGGGCCCAGCTGTCCTCGGTCTCAGGAGGCGCCTTTCCCAAGCTTCCCAGCATGGAGAGGCACTTCTGAGATTGGAGGCAGAAGGAGGGGAGAACTTCTCCCTTTCTCCTCCTCCCGGAGAATCTGGGTGATGTTTCTGTGGGATGTCACGGCATTTCCCTTGTTAAAGTTTCAGCTTCTTCCCGGTCACCATGGCCTCTATTAACAATGCTTTCTCCTTTTGTTCCTCCAGCCTAGGAATGAGGATGGCCTCCTGGTGCTGCTAATTTCTTGGATCCATTTCAGCATCTGAGGTCTTTTGTCACAGTTCTCTGTTCTAGAATTGCTCTATTTTTAAAAAGTACAATGGTTTGAGCGTTTTAATGAAACACTAGTATTCTCATGTCTTAGTTAAAGCTCCTTCAGAGACAGACAACAGAAACTTTCTATGGGTAGTTTACGCAAAGCAAAGAACTTGTATAGCAATGTCCATCTGAAGGCACAGGAACCAGGCTAGCTCTAGGGCCTATGCAATGGGGATTTCCAGACCATTCCCGGTAGCCTTGTCTCAGTGCCGCTTTGTTTCCCATGTAGAATTCCTGAGCAGAGCTGACTGCCCAGGCTCAGAGCAACTATCCCTAACTTCCTACCCACAGCCATGGTTCTTGAGGTGTGGATCCTTAGAGCAATAACACTGCCATCATTTCAGAACCCGTGTATACAAATGCCACGGCCAGCAACCACGGTCTGCATTTCCTAAGTCCTCCAGCTGTTTCTAACAGACATGATAGTGCTCCAGGACCTCCTCCATAGTAAGGAGACGGTGTGACTCAGGTATGACAACTCAGGGCCTATCTCTGTGTGCTGGGAGCCTTCCCAGAAGGCCAGCAGCATTGTGAACCTCACAGTGACTGCAAGTGGTACTATGTAAAGCTGGTAAATCTGTCAGGGTCTTTATGGTAAAATATGGTTCCTGCAGAGGCAGGGGGACTTTGTAATGTTCTGGGCCAACAATTCAACTTAGCCTCTGCAAAGGTATGTGGAAAAGGTTCATTTGACTGCGAATGGGGACCTAGAAATGCTGAAGGATGGAGCAAGGGAGATGGAATCATATGGAAAGATGAGACCAGCCAGTCATAGTAATTCCGTCAGGCACAGAAAGAGGGAGGAGAAAACAGCTTCGGTCACCCAAAATTGTGTGACCAGTATCTGAATGGTCCCAGGACGTTTGGGAAGATGTCCATCCCCCCCCCCCC